TGTGTTTCAGGCTGTCCTCAACAGTTGTGTACAAGGTAAGACTCCCACTGCCACTACCCCCAATCTATAACCTCTGTTTCTCTGGCTGTCCTCAGTAGGAGTGTACAAGGTAAGACCCCCACTGCCACTACCCCCAACCTATAACCTCTGTGTTTCAGGCTGTCCTCAACAGTTGTGTACAAGGTAAGACTCCTCTCTTTAAATAGTCAATTGTGTAGTTGGCAAACAATCAATAAAAGTTTACAGTTTTGTCACAATCCATATGACATATAAAGTATTTGCTTGAGTCTTATCCTGAGATAGGCGTAATTCAGTTCTAAAATGTTGATTCACATTTATAGTAAATGTTCATAGCGTTTAATTTTAGTTAACTGTTTATACAGTATATACAGATGACAATCACTCTAATAATGATATGCATCCAATAAACATTTGTAACAATACAGTGACACTCTAAATGTATCCTGATGAATAAGTTGTATTAAGTGTAACATGAAGATCTTCATCTCTGTGTTTTAGATAAAATTGACCAAATTCAGTCGACAGTGTTGGAAAAGAAGCTCGGCCAAAGAGCATTGGAGGTTTCCCTGATAGGACAACCAGTAGGCCTGTTACTACTGAATGGACAAGGGCATGAACACTCGGAGGACTCTCTGGAGCTTTTCTTTGAGAGTACCAAAAGTGGAGGGCAGGAAGATTGTGTCAAGTCCGTGGCTCACAAGGATTCAGGGATTACAGTCATACCATTCTTGTCCAGTTCATTGCCAACAGGTAAAGATATCCAATAAAACACCACTATATAGTCTTTTCCAAATGTCTCAAGACAAAATATGATCCGCTGACTAATGTTATTCACTTTGTTTTTCCACTCAGTTTAGTAGTTTGTTTTTGCAATTTTTATTCAAAGGACATGTTGGCAAGGATATGAATTTCAGTAAGGAAAAATAATCACAAGGTACGGTTTAAATGATTATTAGTCACTGTATTTAAATTGATCATCCTTTCTCCTTCTCTCATTATCATGAGTTATAAGTGTTTGTAAGTTCTAGAAAATTTCACCAGTCATACATCCTTTTAAATTGGTCACAAACGGTGGTCATGCATAAAAGAGTTCTACAGTAAAAATCACAACCTAAGACAGCTTCACGGATTCATGTTTTTACAGGAGCCAGTATGGCTTTGAAAGTCGATCGATCAGGAGATTTAAGAACAATACGATAATTGGTGTTGATTACACATCGAGTTGAGGAGGTGTCAGGTGTCACATTTAGCTTAATGAATTAATGTGTTACATGCATGTTCGATATAATATGTTTGGGTGTATTTTCATTTACAGAATAAACTATGTGTATGCCCCATTACAGTGATTTGTTTTAGACTTGCGCACTTTCATTTCCGCATTGTATAATACGAAGACGAAGCTAAGAACGTGTGATTGTTCGATTTTTAAATGTAACACTTCAGAAGTAAAACTTGACGGACTTGCAAATACAAATGCAGACCTGGAAAGACTTTGTCAAGTTCTAGACTAGCCAAGAACAGCATTTAATCACTAGGCCCGTGAATATTTAATAACAAATTCAAAATATGGTCCAACCGTTTTGATCGCGTTAAACGAAAGTTCGTTTTTTGGAAATAACTTACTCTACAGTATTTTTGTCATTGTATTTATTGTAAAATTACATACCTGTATTTGTTATATCATTCATCGATTGATTATAAACATTGGTTATTAATATAATCAGCAACTGTTGGTTCTTTGTGAAATAGCATTTCATACCAAATTTATGAACCTGCATAACTCCAACAGTCAAATAACTCGAAGTTTTCCCACGACCCCGTCTTCTTCGAGATAACGAGGTTTGACTGTAAGTTTGTGACAAAAAAAATGTGCATGCTTCAACTGGGGATCAAGCAAGCAACTGGTAGCTTCCCAGTCTGCAATTCTACCAATTTAGCTAAAGGGATATTCCCTCTTTTATGAAGCCAGAAGGCAATTGTAATCATATGTAATTGGTTGGTCCGGTGGCACTAGTGTGGATATCGCACTTGCCTTTCACAAAGAGTTTGCCCTCGAACACCACTTCAACATAGGTGGGGCTGCAGTGGCCAAGTGGCCATCTAACATTCTGCTCCCACTAGCCCTCCACCACTGGGTCCAGGTTTGAGGCCTTTGTGAAGCAGTCGCCAGGTACTGGCTGTAGGACGGTAGTTTTTCTCGGGGAACTCCGGCTTTCCTCCATCACCAAAACCTTAAATGACCATAGCTGTTAATAGGACATTAAACACAAACAAACCAAACCACATAGGTTCTTACTCCCTGTCACCACATGTAGGGCCATGGACACCATTTGTAACAGAAAATATAGTAGTGTGCTTCCACCAGGGTTCCAGTACATCACAGTCAATTGCTCTACCCACTGACCTTATAAGAACCTTCCTCTAGTGTAAAGCTAGAAGTTGACCGGGTTACTGTACATGTGTACAGTACAATTAAGTCTTTTAAAACGTCTTTTGAAAAAAACTCCTTTATCCATTATTACAATAAATATTAGTATGGCATCAAATATAACATAAAAGCACAATGATGATTTGATGATGGTTTTGATTTTTGTAGTTGTAGGTTTGTAATTGCAGACTCAATTAATTTGTATAAAGTACATACTGTTACTGTGTAATGGTTAATCTTTATAGCAATTGTTTTTAGAATCCGTTGAACACAAGTGATTTTGTCAAGTTTTAATTTCAGCTGTGGAAAATATCCTGCGGAAGGGGCGTCAGTCTGGTCATGTCCTCAATAACAAGACTATGACAGTTTTACCGTACTATCCAATTTTCCATGACTCTTTGATCAACCAGCCGAGATGTAACGAGGCAAGGATGCCTGATCCACAACCCCAGCATGCCATGGAGTCTGACAAACCGGACATACAGGAACACCCTCCTACACCCAGCCCTGATGATCCCCCATTTATAGCTCAAATTATAGAGGAAGATGGGTATCATCCTGCTCCAAATGACAATTCCGACATTACTAATGATGATCTGGATACATCCACCAGTGGAAAGGGTCAAGGTAAAAAATTTCCAAGGGAAGGTGGCCATACATTATTGAAACCAGATCCACCCAATAGAGAAAGGAATAAAGCTCAAATGCTACCATTGGAAGATGACCACACCTTATTGCCAAATAAAGGAGCAAATAATAAACCTGGGAAGGTGACATTCCTTGGTGATTATTCACCTAATGGAAATAGGGAACAGCATCAACCTGAACCTACTGTGTTAAAACCAACTGTTAGCCATGAACGAGTTAAACAGCCCAATGAAAAAAACCGAGGTCAAAATCTAGCAAGGGCCACGGAGACAAAAACCATACATTTACCCAAGCACAAGATCATTCTTCTGAGAATATCAAGTTTTGGACGGAAAATGAACAATGTTAGTATAGAACTGAATTCAGAAAAAGAGGAAGTAAAAATTTCAGGAACACGAGAGGATATAGGAATCACCACTGATGAAATGCTTAATAAGCTCAGAGAGGTACAGCAACATGATCGTAAAGTATCTCATGAAACAGCTGTCTTACTCGAACACAAAATGAGAATACCCGATTTTACAAGACAGACTTTGATAGGTGACAAGATCTACGCCCATGTGACTTGCTTAGTAAAGGAAAGCAATGTTAGAGCCTATGCTTTGCAGAGGGATCATGCCAAGAGAGCTGTGGACAAGATGCTGTCTCTGACTGACAGCGCTGACATTGGCTATACCGAGTGTCACTTTAAGTATCTGGCTAGTCCTGCCTGGCAGAATCTTGTCCAGAAATGGGAGGGGCTAGGTCAGGCCAAGATCAAATTGATGAAACCTGAGAAAAAGATCAGAATAACTTCACTTATATCACCTGCTGATATGGCCAAAGACATTGAAAAAGAACTAGAAAAATTCAGTAATGTAACAGGAAAACCTATCTCTGTAGATGGAGGCCAGGGCAAGATACTGAACTACTGTCTCCAGGGAAAGTTGAGGCAGATAGAGAGCGATGTCAGGTAGGTGTCAGTAAATACTGATGTCAGGTATGATTGTCAGGTAGGAATTACTAACTAGGTAATGTCAGGTAGCTAGGTGTCAGTAAATACCTGATGTCAGGTATTATTGTCAGGTAGGAATTACTAACTAGGTAGTGTCAGGTAGGTGTCAGTAAATACTGATGTCAGGTATGATTGTCAGGTAGGAGTAACTAACTAGGTAGTGTCAGGTAGGTGTCAGTAAATACCTAATGTCAGGTATCATTGTCAGTTGTATGATATACAATGCCTGTAGGGTGGCATTAACTAGGTGCTTTCAGGTGTTATTGTCAAGTATATGGCACTTACTAGATGATGTCAGTTATCAATATCAGGAATGTGGCACTAACTAGGTGATGTCAGGTGTCAATGTTTAGTTATCATTTACTAAATGATCTCTGTAATCAGTTGACATCAAGTATATGATGTCAGGAGACAGATATCTTGAGGTTGATATATGTTAATTGATGTCTCAAGATTGATGTCATGTGAGTGATATCAGGTTATCATGAAGGTTTTATCAAGATTAGGAGGTCAAGAAGGTGGTAATACATGGTAAAGATGGTGACAATTAGGAGAATGATATGAGGGTGTTTTTCAAGAGTTTAATGTCAGGAGAGTGTTGATGTACTGTAAGATGGAAAGTCTTTGTCCCCTCCTTTTATTTGTACCCTTCTTCCTCTTTAATGGGCGGATTGGTCGAGTGGTTAACACTCCTGCCTTCCATGCAGATGGCCGGGGTTCGATCCCCAAAATCATTGTACGCATAGAATATTCAGAGAAAGTGTTTTTCTCTTTCCCATACTCCAACAACCCTGGTGGAGTATAAAATGGTCTAGGGTGGATGTTACGGTATCTGTGCTGTTACATTCAAATGAGGTGGCAATTTAAAAGATACCGTTGGAAGCATGGTCCCAGTTCAAACAGAACACAATACATCTCCTGCACACGCAGACATACCCACAGGGAGATATTAGCCAGGTGGCATAGGACTAACAGTTAGCGCCTCATAAGGCAGCTCCTGGGAATTCCTCAAAACTGTATTAACTAATGTATATGCTAATTGTGTTGATTGTATAAATTGTATATCTATGTACTGTAAAGTGCTAAAGCGCTCAAGAGTGGCATATTCTAGCCAGATAGGGTTAGAAGCTATATCAAATATTGTATACTATTTAACAATTTAGCCAGCAAAATCAAGATTGTACTACATACAATACCAGTATGATTTTATGGTAGGCAAATGTCACACTAGGCTGGCAAATACATGTATGTATAATTAAAAGAGAAAAGGGGGACATCTGCGGGGGAAAAGAAACGTTGTTGTTTGTGTAAATTATACAATAAACACTGTTTATATATATGGTAGAAATGCTGGTGGTCAGATGGATCATGGATACAAGGCTGGTACCTACCTAATTACTGTTCAGGGCAGTCCAAGTATCGTCCAGAAATCTGAGAGCCAGCTCCGCAACCTCACATCTAGCATCTGGGAGGGCACTATCCACCTCAGCAGACTGGAGGACAAATCAAGACCCCCCTCAGGTAAAATAGTAGATTTATCCAGATTTTTTTATGCTAAGACTGTAAGGAAAATATGTGATTTTTTTTGTATGCTGAATTTCAACTACAATATTTTTTTTATGTCCTGCTTAATAAGTCATTGCTAATTGTATGAACACTAGGAATGATTTAGAGTTGTTTATTTTCATGAATCAATACAATTGAATCGGATTCTTTGTTTAAAATTTCCCCTAATCTCCACTAAAGAATGCAATAGCAGACAATTCAAATCAAATTATGGATAATCAGAATGCTGACAGATATTGAAATATGAAGGTCTTTATAATGGAATCAATTTAGACCTTTACTATCTTACTTCCTTATTTTCCAAGATAATATAAGCATTTGCAACTTATCTTTGCATGCAATGACTTAAATATACTTTCGTGACAAGAACAAACATTACTTGGTATTCAACAAATCTAAATCAAGACTACTTTAAAATTCCATTTTTGTGTCGCCTGCGAAAAGCTGATAACACATAGGTATTGCTATGTCGGCGGAGGCGTCGCCGTCGTCGTCCGCACAGAGGTTTTCGTGGGATAACTTGAGTTTCCTTGGGCCGATCAAACTCAAACTTCATGCAGTGCTTCCTTACCAAAACTGCTTGCTAAGGATTGCTTTTCAGGTCCAAAGGTCAAAGGTCAAGGTCACTGTTACTATAAATAGAAAATCTGTTTTCGTGCGATAACTTGAGTTTCCTTGGGCTGATCAAACTCAAACTTCATGCAGTGCTTCCTTACCAAAAGTGCTTGCTTGGGATTGCTTTTCAGGTCCAAAGGTCAAAGGTCGAGGTCACTGTTACTATAAATGGAAAATATGTTTTCGTGCGATAACTTGAGTTTCCTTGGGCCTTAAAACTCAGAGTATTCCTCCAAGAATAACAGATTATGTAACAAAATGATGCCATCCAAAAACATAATCTATTATTATTGCTTACTTTTAACATATTTCTTGAAATGAAAAGTGTATCTATTTCTTCTCCCAGCTTCCTGCGCAGGCGACACATCCACTTCTGTGGAATTCTTGTTCTGAATAAACACTGGTTAGGTATTTTAATTACTGATTAATCTCATTAAATCATTGAATGGGTAAATCTAGAGGTTGGGCAACCAATTTTTCAAGCAGATAGCCAGGGTTCACATCTGATCATGAATCCTGATTTTTCAAAGACTCCATGATATTAGATCCATGTCTCAATTACTCATTTTGAGACGAGTCTCTCGGCTAAGGACTCAAAGGTGTAGGTCCTGTGTCTCAATGACTCATTATCAGATGAGTCTCTCAGCTAGGGACTCAAAGGTGTAGGTCCTATGTCTCCAGGCACATATAGTAGAAAGTAAGGGAATGCTATGGCAGATACAGAAAATGAGTGCTTCAAAAGAGATGGTTACAGATTGTTCAAACTAAATTTATATGAACCAGTTACAGGAGTAAGCTCATGGTTACAATATACGACAGTATCCAAAGCTTGCTGCCAGCTTGATAACTAGACAAATGTACAGATTAGAATGAAACCACTTCCTATGTGCACTACACAGCTGTCCACTACCAGTTGTTAGAAATGCAGTCGGGAAGTGGACATACATGTCCTCACCAGTACATTCAACCACCATTTCTCTTTAGCTCATGTATACAATCTCTGTTACATGATAACCAAGTTTATTTATGCTCATTTGTAAATTTAATGTGAACATTGAAGGAGAATTAAACTGGTTATATTAACCACTGTGAGTGTGGGGCAATGTCACCATAAAACCTTTCTAAGTTCAGATGTTGTTCATATAGACTGTAAATGCCATGGCCTATGAGTTCAGGACCTCATCTTTATTACGACATAGCAGTTGTAACATTGGATACTGCTGACCCACCAATTGAAGATGGCTTTTTAGCACACCATCATCTGATGTTGAGCTATTCAAATCACCCTGCGTCCGTTGTCCGTCCGTCCGTCGTCTGTTGTCCGTCCTTAAACAATTCTTGTTATCGGTATTTCTCAAGAAGTACCAAATGGATCTTTCTCAAATTGTATATGTAGGTTCCCCTTGGTCCTTAGCTGTGCAGGGCAAGTTTTGAGACTGATCGGATAAACAACATGGCCGACAGGCAGCCATCTTGGGGTTTGATAGTGAAAGTTTGTTATCACTATTTCTCGGGAAGTACGGGAGGGATCTTTCTCAAATTTTATATGTAGTGTTCCCCTTGTTCCCTTGTTGTGCAGCAGTGCCGGAAATGGACGATCGGTGATTTAGAAAATGCGATGATTTTTTTTATCTGATTTTATTTATAAATACTGCCAGGGTGTCTTCTTTAAGGTGCAAGTTTTGTGTATTTCGTTTTGGGAAGACCTGAATGGAGTGGATCATGTCAGGTTTTAACTAGGGTTGAAGAATGTTTTATTCTGTTTTACATATTACAAACTTGTCATGTTATATGTTATTTAAATGTGCTGAAGCATTGTGTTCAATGCTGTGGAAATATTTCTTTCCAAAATTATTTGGGCAAGAGGGATATTTCTCAAATTTGGTACATGTTTGTAGGTTCCCCTTGATCCCTCGTTGTACATGGTATATTTTGAGACTGATCATAAAAACAAAATGGCTAAAGGAAGAACTAAACAGATCTTTCTCACATTGCAATGATCGATTCTATTTCTTTCACATTTAGTACTGTACTAGTAAATATGTGAATGACAAACTCACTTTGAAGGTTGAATTGGCTTTCATCCACATCAGTATTAAGTTTAGATCAAAAGTTACGTGAAGGTGCATTTACTGTTAACATGACTCGATCAAACAAATTAGAGAAAAGAAGAGAAAAGATCGAACTGACAAAGAACTAATGAAGATAGTACAATGGTGGGCGCCAAGATCCCTCTGGGATCTCTTTTTGGATACAGTCATTGTGCTTTGTCCGTCATCGTGCGCCGTCAGCCGACCGTCATCCGTAAAATTTCAACATTTTAAACTTCTTCTCAAGTTCCACCAGTGGGATTGAGCTATAACTTGCCTTAAATGATCCTGAGATGGTCCTGACCAAGTGTTGTTATTTTTCGGGTCCATCCAAAATCCAAGACGGCCGCCATCTTAAAAAACACATCTTAAACTTCTTCTCCAGTTCCACTGGTGCCATTGAGCTAAAAGTTGGTGGGGATGTTAAGGAAAGGAATGCGACAAAGCGTTGTTATTTTTCAGCATTGAATTGTGTTGATATGGCATTTACAGTCTAAATGAATGACACAGCTTTAATTTGCAGGCAAACATTTCATAATGTGTTATTGCACATTATGACGTTTGCCTGCCGAGCTATGTCGTTCACCCATACTGTGACAGCCCTATCAACACTGTTCAATACTTAAGAATCCATTGGTGCCCAACCTGAAACTGGTTATATGTGGCTGTCAGGATCCAATTTTTGTTTCACCATATAAATAGCTGAGTATTTAATAGGCTATTGGATTTCTTTTTTGCACTGTTTAAATGTATGTTAAGGTCTTAATGTATGATAGTGGCTCTCTTTAAGACCTTTTTTTTTCACACGGTATAAATGTATAGTGACTATCGTAAAGAAACTTGACATTGACTTTTATCAGCATTTTTCTAACACTACTTTATTTTGTATTCCTAATTTCTCACAGATGAAGAAGTTACTGTTATGATAGATGGCCTATCATCAGAGAAGGGGAAGGAATTCCTGAAGAGATTCAGCATAGAGCACTCGTGTGTTGTTCTTTTTACTCCCAAGCTAGGATCTAGGCATGGATCCAGGTAAATTTAAATTTTATATTGACCATATAACCCTGATTCAATGAAAATCCTACAAGTTATGAAATAAATTTACAAAATTTTATTAAATTTCTTTCGAATTTGATATAGTGTATATACACTCTCTATCGATAGGCGAAACATCCCAGGTCGAGTTATATATGGAATATAAAATTTCGTCACATTGTTGTACAGGTATACGAAGACAATACAAATCACTCGCTCAGATGAAACTTGACAAAAGGGAACAGTCGGTCTTGAAACGTTGTGACACACTGTTTGTGTAAAAAGTAAAATTTTGATTTTCTATCAAATTGATTGCACTACCTTGTCAATGGGAGGATCAAGTACTAAAAATTAATTGAAATTCAGTCATTGAATAAACATGTTTTCCTGTATAATGAGATAAACACATCTGGAGACACAATGCATGTATATGAAATGGTACAGTTTCAGTTGCTGTATAATTAAACAAGTTTGCCGCTGTTGGTATTCTATCTGCTAAATGTTTTAATGACATATATTGATGTTAGGGTTACATATATGGTAAGGTCCTAAAATGTCTGCCCCCAAACTTCACAGTCAGAATGTTTTTAATTTGATTGTTGAATGCTCTTTGCCCTAACTTAATGTTAATTGAATTCACATGTATAAATATCTGGAAAAGGTTTAGCCTATTCATTTTCATCATGTTTCCCCCCATTCATTGTAAAATGATGTATTTAGCTCATCTGGTCTGAAGGTCCATTGAGCTTATACCATAGCACAGCATCAGTCGTTCTTTTCCTTAAATGATATATAAATTTGTGGAATTTCTTAAAATTTGGTCTTATACTGTTGTGATACTCAATGTTTCACTCCAGAATCAAAATACAGTGTGTAGAATAATAGAATCTCTCACCCCCTCAACCTGAGGGGGAAGATTCTTATGTTGCCAAACACGAGGCTTTGCCCACAAGGGGGTGAATGATTCTTTTTCTCTTACCCTGTTCTCCCAATGTGTATCATATACACAATGTAATGATAACGTTGCATGCTAAATTCAGGATTGACGTGACGTTGATGGATTGTTGACTTGACGTCATTGTATTGTTAAAGTGACGTCATACCATTGTTATGAATAGGGGAATCCCCCCGTCTCAACCCTATGGTGAGACAAGGGAATCTCACACCGGTAAAAGTACGGATACACCTGTCCAGGGTAAGAGAAAAAGGAATCTCACAACATAACACCAGATGCCAGATATTTATGCATGATGCAAATTTTTCAATTCCTTCAAAATTGAATTTCCGAGTTGGAATTTTGGTTTGCTTATCTCCATGTAAATGCTAACATGTAAGAGAAAATTAGATACAGCTAGTGTACTCAGGAAAAATACCCGATACATTATGGTATGCTGCATTAGTGATTTATCTATTGTTGCTTCTTACTGAATTAACTTAGAGGAATTGTTTCTTCTATCAAAATAGTTAGAATTGTTAAAAAAAGTATACTTTCCGGGTTCTGAGTCATGTGACTCTTTGATACACTTTGACGGTTTGTGTGCTACAGACTATAGCTGTATTGAGTGTATAGTTACTCAGAAGAATCCATGCTGTGGTTCTTTCACAGATTGGGATCTACAATATATGTCACCTCGGTGAATCATGTAATGACTCTCTTGCTGTGGACTGTGGACTGTGTGGACTGTGGACTGTGGACTGTGGACTGTGTGGACTGTGTGGACTGTGGACTGTGTGGACTGTGGACGGACTGTGGACTGACTGTGGACTGTGGACTGTGGACTAACTGTGGACTGTGGACTGACTGTGGACTGACGGTGGACTGTGGACTGTGTGGACTGTGGACTGTGGGCTGTGTGGACTGTGGACTGACTGTGGACTGTGGACTGACTGGACTTTGTGGACTGTGGACTGTGTGGACTGTGGACTGTGGACTGGGGACTGTGTGGACTGTGGACTGACTGTGGACTGGCTGGGGACTGTGGACTGTGGACTAACTGTGGACTGTGGACTGACTGTGGACTGACGGTGGACTGTGGACTGTGTGGACTGTGGACTGTGTTGACTGTGGACTGTGGACTGTGGACTGACTGTGGCCTGTGGACTGTGGACTGACTGTGGACTGTGGACTGACTGTGGACTGACTGGGGACTGTGGACTGTGGACTGTGTGGACTGTGTGGACTGTGTGGAGTGTGGACTGTGTGGACTGTGGACTGTTGACTGTGTGGACTGTGGACTGTGTGGACTGTGGACGGACTGTGGACTGACTGTGGACTGTGGACTGTGGACTGTGCGGACTGTGGACTGTGGACTGACTGTGGACTGTGTGGACTGTGGACTGTGGACTGTGGAGTGTGTGGACTGTGTTGACTGTGGACTGTGGACTGTGGACTGACTGTGGCCTGTGGACTGTGGACTGACTGTGGACTGTGGACTGTGGACTAACTGTGGCCTGTGGACTGACTGTGGACTGACTGTGGACTGTGGACTGTGGACTAACTGTGGCCTGTGGACTGACTGTGGACTGACTGTGGACTGTGGACTGTGGACTAACTGTGGCCTGTGGACTGACTGTGGACTGACTGTGGACTGTGGACTGTGGACTAACTGTGGACTGTGGACTGACTGTGGACTGACGGTGGACTGTGGACTGTGTGGACTGTGGACTGTGGGCTGTGTGGACTGTGGACTGACTGTGGACTGTGGACTGACTGGACTGTGTGGACTGTGGACTGTGTGGTCTGTGGACTGTGGACTGTGTGGACTGTGTGGACTGTGTGGACTGTGGACTGTGGACTGTGGACTGTGTGGACCGTGGACTGACTGGACTGACTGTGGACTGTGGACTGTGGACTGTGTGGACTGTGGACTGTGGACTGTGTGGACTGTGGACTGTGGACTGACTGTGGACTGTGGACTGTGGACTGACTGTGGACTGTGGACTGTGGACTGACTGTGGACTGTGGACTGTGGACTGGACTTGACAGAGTTTCCCTTAGCCTAATACAGTAGAATACTTGACTTTAATTTAGTTCTTGCCTGGATTGGTTTTGGATGCACAGCAAATTTACAATATGATAAGTATAAATTGTACAATTGGGGGAAATTTTAATGGTGTGGAAATGTTTGTGATTTTCGTGTTGATTATATATAGTTAGCACAAACACATCTGCACACAAATATATAATATATAGATTATAGAGTAAAACGTTTTCGAACCATTGTCAACATGAAATCTCCAAACTGTTATCAATTTAAGGAGTCAGATATTTCCATATGTTTGAACTTCACACTTCTATAGTGGAGATTTTGATACTTGCGATATCTGCACCAACTTATTCCAGTGATACTGTTAAATACAACATTGATATTTAAAATGATTGATTTTTTTTTGGAATTTGCATGTCAGGTCTGATGAGCCAAGGAATATAAATTTAAAGCGATCATCATCTATGCCAGTCCTCGACCCTCCCCCTCCCCGCTCGCACGTGTACGACAGACACCAAACAAATGCCCGGGTAGAGAAGTCAGCCCATGGCCAGAACATCCCATATCAACCTAAACACAGAGCGAGAGAGCCATATGGACGTGGAAACAGAGAATTCCATGGACATGCACATAGAAATTCAGAAGATTTTTCTGGCCAAAGGAAATCTGAGAGATATTCCAGACTTACAAAATCTATTAAAGTTGGAAACTGTACTATTACTGTCAAGAAAGGTAGCATCACAGAGGAAATGGTATGTGCACATGCTTTTTGTGTACATGTATAAAACTTTAGACAGAGTCCAGGTAATGACCTTAAAAGCTAGGGTACCGTAACTCAGCCATCAATCGAACCCTGTTTACATCTGCAGAGAAACTGGACTGGGTCGATCAACGGCGACCAGGTATTGGTAGAGCGTCCAACTTGAGTTTGGGAGGTCTTTGGTTCGAAACCCCAGTTTGGCTGTTGCATTTCTCTTTCTCCTGTGACAAAATTGGCAAGCTTGCCAACTCTTGTTTCAAGTACTGAGTGAATGCTTAGCAAGGAGATACCCGAACCTGGGTTATTAATAATGGTGTCTTTAGGAGGGAAATTTGAAAAAGGAGAGAGGAATGTAGCAGAACTGGACTGGGTCGACCATTAGCGACCAGATAGAGTTTGGAGGGTCCCTGGTTCGAACCCCATGCAGTCTTTGCTGTTGCATTTCTCTAATTCTTGTTATACATCAAAAAGATTGTAGAAATTAAATAATGTTGTATTAATAAAGGACTTGTCTTTAATGTATACACAGACTTAACATTGAATGGGTTAACTTTAACATGTACAGCGTGTGTTAGTTAAAAAGAAGTTCCCAGTGATGGTTGGTTATCATGTCTATCTAACTAAAGTTCATTATGTCTCCCATTCGAATGAAGGGAGAAATATTGTATTAGTACTCGTTCTTCTTCTAATCGGACTTGTCATGGCCATAACTTTTGAACCGTTAAAGATATCTTGATGAAACTTTAGGTATGCATGCATCACCCACAGGAGGTGTGCAGTGCACTAGAATTAGGTCACTGTGACCTTCACCTCAAGGTCAAAGGTCAAATAAGTGCACATTTTAAGTAAATTCTTGTCCGGCCCGTAAATTTCAAACCATTAAAGATATCTTAATCAAACTTGAAGTATACCTGCATCACTCACAGAAGGTGTGCAGTGTACTGGAATTAGGTCTTTTGCGCACTATATACAGAGTTATGGCCCTTTGTTTAATTTCAATACCAGCATAACTTCCCCATGTTATTAGGGTNATCATACTTACCATATTGATGTATCTTGAGACGGCGGAATTTCTCACACTAAAATCAGATTTTATGCCCCACTATACACAGAGTCNAAGGTCAAGGTCAAATTTTGTATATTTTCCCTGATGAACATTTTGTTATGACATTATGAAGCAAAGTTGGTTGGAATTTAACAAAGAGTCAACTGACTTAAGGTTAAGGCCACTGGGTCCAAGGTTAAGGTCAAATTCAGTATCTTTTTACTGGGGAACATTTTGTTATGACACTTTGAAGCAAAGTTGGTTGAAATTAAACAAGGAGTCAGTTGACCCAAGGTCACTGGGTCAAAGGTCAAGGTTATATTTTGTATCTTTTCACTGGTGAACATTTCGTTTTGACACTTTGAAGCAATGTTGTTCAGAATTAAACAAGGAGTCATTTGACCAAATGTCCAGGTTACTGGTTCAAAAGGTTTAAGGTCAAGGTCAAATTTTGTATTTTTCACTGATTAACATTTTGTTATGATATTATGAAGCAAAGTTCGTCGGAATTGAGTCAACTGACCAAAGATCAGGGTCACTGGGTTAAAGGTCAAGGTCATTTTGGTCCAAAGGTCAAAGACAAAGTGGATCTCTTACTTTGACCCTGCCTCTTGATGGGGGAGGTATTTAAGGTGAATCAAAATTAATCAAAGCTTACAAATGAGTATTGCACCGGTATTTACATTTCTGTTATCTCAGCAAATATGGAAGTGGAAGGAAACAAGACTCACATCATAGTACATGTAAAATGTATATTTTGCTGCCTTGCAATTTCTTTTTAAGTCCAAATGTCAAACATCAAGCTCAGCTATATTGACAGATTGCTTCTTGATAATTAAGGGGGATATATTGCCACAAGACGGGGCTCTTACTGAACTGTCAGTGTTCTAGTTTGACCAAACTTGCTAAAGTTTTAATGTGTCTTGGGAAGTAGGAGTGTCGAATTCTAAATTCGGGTCTCGTGCCCCACTATGTAAAGCGATAGTGCCCTTTGTTAATTTTTTATACTGAAGTTTTTCTATTGGCTAATAATTAAGGGGAGACATGTTTTTGTTCACAAAAACAAAATTTTAGTTAATTTTCAAAAAGTATAAAGACATAATGGAGGTTTATCGAGTGTCTTTTACAACGTGAAAAATTACTAATCTGGGGGTATTAGTCTGCCATTCTGGCAGCAGTTCTAGATTTGTCTATTTTCAGAACTATTTTAATTCAGAACAAAAACAACATATGAAGAATTTAAAAATCACTGTTGGAAAACAAGAAACACATTTTCAAATGTTTCTCATAAATTGTATTTCCAAAATTTGTATAAACAACTCCCTATGTGTCTCATTTATGATTTGTATCAGCTGCATTTATAGTCTGTCATTGTTCTCACCAATGTTCTCACCAATGTTCTCACCAATGTTAAGTTCTCACCAATGTTCTCACCAATGTTCTCACCAATGTTCTCCCATAGATGTATATAATACCAGTTCACTTGTTGTGTCAATGTTCTCCCATAGATATATAATACCAGTTCACTTGTTGTGTCGATGTTCTCCCATAGATATATAATACCAGTTCACTTGTTGTGTCAATGTTCTCCCATAGATATATAATACCAGTTCACTTGTTGTGTCAATGTTCTCCCATAGATATATAATACCAGTTCACTTGTTGTGTCAATGTTCTCCCATAGATATATAATACCAGTTCACTTGTTGTGTCAATGTTCTCCCATAGATATATAATACCAGTTCACTTGTTGTGTCAATGTTCTCCCATAGATATATAATACCAGTTCACTTGTTGTGTCAATGTTCTCCCATAGATATATAATACCAGTTCACTTGTTGTGTCAATGTTCTCCCATAGATATATAATACCAGTTCACTTGTTGTGTCAATGTTCTCCCATAGATATATAATACCAGTTCACTTGTTGTGTCAATGTTCTCCCATAGATATATAATACCAGTTCACTTGTTGTGTCAATGTTCTCCCATAGATATATAATACCAGTTCACTTGTTGTGTCAATGTTCTCCCATAGATATATAATACCAGTTCACTTGTTGTGTCAATGTTCTCCCATAGATATATAATACCAGTTCACTTGTTGTGTCAATGTTCTCCCATAGATATATAATACCAGTTCACTTGTTGTGTCAATGTTCTCCCATAGATATATAATACCAGTTCACTTGTTGTGTCAATGTTCTCCCATAGATATATAATACCAGTTCACTTGTTGTGTCAATGTTCTCCCATAGATATATAATACCAGTTCACTTGTTGTGTCAATGTTCTCCCATAGATATATAATACCAGTTCACTTGTTGCAGGCCAGTGTTTTGGTGAACGTAGTTGGAGAATCACGGATATTCACCGAAAGTTTAATTTCAAGAAAGTTTTGTGATGTTGGAGGCAATGCTTTGGAGAAGGTAATTATAACTTGTGTATACTAGGTTATTTAAGCAGCTGTGTAATTTTGTACTTCTGCAGAAAAATCAACATTAAAATGAAAATTAAAGTCCATTCCTAGAAATTATTGTAAAATCTAATTTGAAAATAAAGACAAACAGCAATGCAAAGACGACAAACAGCTTGCTTTATTGACAAATATTGTTATATATATTAAAAGGTTACAACCAATTAAATTTGCATTTCAATCACTCTATAATCATGGTGTACTGTTAAGATTTTGATACAGACACATAGAATAGTTCATGATGTTAAAATACTAAAACAGTATTTCAACATAGTAAATATATACAACAGTATTACTATAGAAATAAGAACAATATAAAATGTTCCAACAGTTTGAATGTTTTACTTTGTTGAAATACAATTTATCATTGACTGACCTTATTTTACGAAATTTCTATGCTGTTCAAACATTTATATCCTGACAAAAATACAAAAATAACTCTGCATGAATTCAAATCTGTTAACAGTAATTTGAATTAAGATACAATTAATACATCCTTTATGGGATGATATATGTATTGATGCTGCGAGTGATGGAGTATATTGATTAGTGGTTGGATAAGTCTGTCAATGATCAGTGAATCATGGTATTTGTCTGATAACAATACAGAGGTGTCATCTTTGGAAGCCCATCAATAAGGTTTATTCCTAACCATCATTTACTACTGTGTATTTATGTGACATGTTGATAATGTTTAATTCATTTTTCGTGTTGATGATGTTTCCTTAAAGTATGTGTCAACTTTTCAGGCTTTCAAAAGGTTTGACTTTGGAGGCAATGTAGTTTTTACCGTGAGTTCTGGCGGCCTCCTGTGCCAGAATGTGTGTCACATGATCTTACGGAAATGGCAACATGATCAGAAAACAACGGTGGGTGATTTCTAACAATACGTCTGAATTTATTTATTTATAGTGGATATGCTAATAGAATTGTTTTTTCTAGATATCTGTCGAGATATTATACGTAATGTGATAGTGCTGTTCCATTCTAACATGAGAATAACTATAATCAATATTTGACAACTAGAAATGCTAAGATTGCAGACACTATGGCTTAAAAAGCGTTTACGGGTATTTTGCAGGATGTTGGCATATAAAGTTGTTACCAATTCATATGCAGTCGGTTGGTATATAGAACTGACATTCCAAACATTTTGACAAGTTAAAATGAATATTCAATCTTCACTTCATCAACAGCATAATAAATATAAACCCATTTCATATCCATTTATCCAAAGCTAATCAATTTTTGCTCATTTGCTACAGATATTAATGAGGTGGATATAAACATTTCTCTTAAATCTTATTAATATAATCATCACTTTTCTTGAGTAGCTGAAGCATGAAATAGAGTCAGCTCTTGCGGAGACATTTTCGATGGCAAAAAATCTGAGGGCAACATCAATTGCCTTCCCCGCTGTTGGTACAGGAAGACTCCTAGAGTACCCTGTTCCATTCATAGCTGAGTGTATGGTATCGGGGGCCATCACAGCCTGTAAAAAGGGCACCAGTCTAGATCTGACGGTAAGTATATATACACTATGTCAGGGTCTGTCACAGCCAAACAGGACACCAGTCAGACAGTAAGTATATAAACTGTGTCAGGGTCTGTCACAGCCAGTAAACAGGGCACCAGTCTGACAGTAAGTATATACACTGTGTCAGGGTCTGTCACAGGAAGTAAACAGGGCCCCAGTCTGACAGTAAGTATATACACTGTGTCAGGGTCTGCCACAGCCAGTAAACAGGGCACCAGTCGGACAGTAAGTATATAAACTGTGTCAGGGTCTGTCACAGCAAGTAAACAGGGCACCAGTCGGACAGTAAGTATATAAACTGTGTCAGGGTCTGTCACAGCAAGTAAACAGGACACCAGTCGGACAGAAAGTATATAAACTGTGTCAGGGTCTGACACAGCCAGTAAACAGGATACCAGTCAGACAATAAGTATATACACTGTGTCAGGGTCTGTCACAGCAAGTAAACAGGACACCAGTCGGACAGTAAGTATATACACTGTGTCAGGGTCTGTCACAGCAAGTAAACAGGACACCAGTCTGACAGAAAGTATATAAACTGTGTCAGGGTCTGTCACAGCCAGTAAACAGGACACCAGTCTGACAGTAAGTATATACGCTGTGTCAGGGTCTGTCACAGCCTGTAAACAGGACACCAGTCTGACAGTAAGTATATACCCTGTGTCAGGGTCTGTCACAGCCAGGAAACAGGGCACCAGTCTGACAGTAAGTATATACACTGTGTAAAGGTCTGTCACAGGAAGTAAACAGGGCCCCAGTCTGACAGTAAGTATATACACTGTGTCAGGGGCTGGCACAGCCAGTAAACAGGGCACCAGTCGGACAGTAAGTATAGACACTGTGTCAGGGTCTGTCACAGCTAGTAAACAGGGCACCAGTCGGACAGTAAGTTTATACACTGTGTCAGGGTCTGTCACAGCTAGTAAACAGGGCACCAGTCGGACAGTAAGTATATAAACTGTGTCAGGGTCTGTCAAAGCCAGTAAACATGACACCAGTCGGACAGTAAGTATATACTCTGTGTCAGGGTCTGCCACAGCCAGTAAACAGGGCACCAGTCGGGCAGTATGTATATACTCTGTGTCAGGGTCTGTCACAGCCAGGAAACAGGGCACCAGTCTGACAGTAAGTACATACACTGTGTCAGGGTCTGTCACAGTAAGTAAACAGGGCACCAGTCGGACAGTAAGTATATAAACTGTGTCAGGGTCTGCCACAGCCAGTAAACAGGACACCAGTCTGCCAGTAAGTATATACACTGTGTCAGGGGCTGGCACAGCCAGTAAACAGGGCACCAGTCGGACAGTAAGTATATAAACTGTGTCAGGGTCTGTCACAGCAAGTAAACAGGGCACCAGTCTGACAGTAAGTATATACCCTGTGTCAGGGTCTGTCACAGCCAGTAAACAGGGCACCAGTCGGGCAGTATGTATATACACTGTGTCAGGGTCTGTCACAGCCAGTAAACAGGGCACCAGTCGGGCAGTATGTATATACTCTGTGTCAGGGTCTGTCACAGCCAGTAAACAGGGCAACAGTCTGACAGTAAGTAGGGTCTGTCACAGGAAGTAAACAGGGCACCAGTCGGGCAGCATGTCTATACACTGTGTCAGGGTCTGTCACAGGCAGTAAACAGGGCACCAGTCGGGCAGTATGTATATACACTGTGTCAGGGTCTGTCACAGGGAGTAAACAGGGCACCAGTCGGACAGTAAGTATATATACACTGTGTCAGGGTCTGTCACAGGAAGTAAACAGGGCACCAGTCGGGCAGTATGTCTATACACTGTGTCAGGGTCTGTCACAGGAAGTAAACAGGGCAACAGTCGGACAGTAAGTAGGGTCTGTCACAGGAAGTAAACAGGGCACCAGTCGGACAGTAAGTAGATAAACTGTGTCAGGGTGCATATTATTCCCTTTAGTAGTGGTTAGCCCTTTAGCATTAACTCAGGAATGAACAAGAATTAGAACTGTTTAACTCTTGGAAATAAAAGATGATAATTCATACATGCATTTCCCAGTTTCTGATTTAATCTCCCTTCATACATTCTTTCAGACTGTTTTGCTTGTCATAACTAAACAGATAAAAAAAAGTTCAATGATGGACCTCATCATTATTTCAAGTATTGTTCATTTCAAATCTCTCATAATGGTCTTTTTGTCATTTTTTTAAAATTTCAGGATGTGAGGTTTGTTATCTACGACCCGCAACAACTGGAGGTTTTTATCAAACAACTGGAGGAGAAGGAGGAAGACAGGAGTGACTACCCATCTCAACGTCCTACTTCTCAAGCACAAGGTATTTACGTATCTAGATATCTCTACATGGGAGTCAGGAAGGAAGGGATATATGTTACCGTGTAGGTCTAAATGTAACTGGCATAATTAAATAAATAATCTGCAGAGATTCAGGGAGAAGGGAAAGTGTTGCCCTAATATTCTCACAGCGCTGGAACATTCTTGTACTTACTTTTTCCAAGGGGAGTAACTCATGCTTAGCTTACATATCTGACCTGCCAGATCTAATTCACTACAAGGATCTGATGTTGGTAGTAAGGAGAATATGACCCTTCAGTTCCAACAGAAATCAGAGACAAAATACATGGATGAGGTGTGCTTGGGTTTTCTGTTATATTTCTTTAGTTCCAGCCTAAATATTGATAGGTGAATATTATCATAATTCAGCTGTGAGTATCAATCAGGAGGGGAGTGATATGGGAAAGGAGCTGGGTGTGATGTGTTGGTAGGGGATCAACAGGGAAGTAGGGACATCATAGAATGAGGCCAGAAAGAATGTGAAGTTAGAGGAGAGAATTCTCAATACCAACTCCTGTGTCCTAGCTATTTTCCATGCCTACACAGTTGTGTTGTTATAGTATTTCCCATTCTTCTTTTGATACATCCTCCACATTGTAGTTAGTGGTGTGTCTATATCGAATTGGCATCTACCTCTGGTAATATAATTTCTGTTATACACTTATTATTACTGAAAAGAGACATTTATAGATGAGTGTGAAGATGCAGGGTGACGATACACCAAATTAATAGATACTCAAGATGTCAAAATCAAATAATGAATTCATATATGTTATTTATGATAGAGAATATCCTGGATATTTTTTGTCTTTGAACTTGTCTGAAATTTTATGGATATAGGTCTGTTCAAAACTTATGATACCATTATGACTTACAAATAGGCATACTTCTATAATTGATGTCATTTTTATGAGAGGTTTATTTTCATGTTCATTTGAATGGAGACTTATTTATGGATTTATAATACATTCCATGGAAATTTGTTCTACAGAAAATTTTGACAATACTATTGCAATAAAACTTTCTCAGTTTCACAACTTTATTACAACTAAAACTTTATATTATTAAGTTATATTTCAAGTACAAAACAAAGCTTACAGGAACGTAAAATGCCTTACGTTGCTATATTTACATAACAATTTAATTATGGTTATTCTGTAAAGTCAAGTCTTATAAATTCCAGCTCCCTTCCATTCACCTGGCAACGGTAGACAGGAAGCAATCAGTCCTTTAGCACTTCCAAGGCCAAGGTCAGACACTTCACCTGGCTGTATGACCTTGTTCTGTACACCAAAGGAGAAGGGAAAGCAGCTTCAGAGCTCTCTCTCAGCAGACATGAGGAAAAACTTCCTAGCAAAAGAAAAAATACAACTTCATACTGATAAAGTGGAAAAGAAGAGTATTCATCAACTTTGTAGTGGAAAAGCTGCTCGAGTGAAGATTGAACAGGGTAATCATGTCAGTTGTCTACACCTGATAATATAATGTAAAATACATATATAAAGAAAGTAGAATGGTTTCTATCAACAATTGTATTTCAGTTAATATCAAGGGTAGCATATCAAGTTCTCTTTTGAAAGTTAAGTCCTACATGCAGCTTACAAATTATCTAACCATTCCTATCCCAATATACAGGCACATGAATAGCCTGAACTCTTTATACATGTAAAGACACATGAATAGCCTCAACTCTTCATACATGTAAAGACACATGAATAGCCTTAAACTGTAACTCTTTATACATGTAAAGTCACATGAATAGCCTGCACTCTTTATGCATGTAAAGACACATGAATAGCCTGCACTCTTTATACATGTAAAGACACATGAATAGCCTCAACTCTTTATACATGTAAAGACACATGAATAGCCTTAAACTGTAACTCATTATACATGTTAAGACACATGAATAGCCTGAACTCTTTATACATGTAAAGACACATGAATAGCCTCAACTCTTCATACATGTAAAGACACATGAATAGCCTTAAACTGTAACTCTTTATACATGTAAAGACACATGAATAGCCTTAACCCTTTATACATGTAAAAACACATGAATAGCCTCAATTCTTTATACATGTAAAGACACATGAATAGCCTGAACTCTTTATACATGTAAAAACACATGAATAGCCTCAACTCTTTATACATGTAAAAACGCATGAATAGCCTGAACTCTTTATACATGTAAAGACACATGAATAGCCTCAACTCTTCATACATGTAAAGACACATGAATAGCCTTAAACTGTAACTCTTTATACATGTAAAGACACATGAATAGCCTCAACTCTTTATACATGTAAAGACCAGGGTTGCCAACCTCTTAGGAGTCCAGTGTGGGAGATCTCCCTCCACTGGGTTTTACAATGTGTGAGACTTTGACGGCGTCGCGGGGTAACGTAGTTTTGGGTGTTAAGATAACATTTACAAATGTATCAAACAAATCCTGGCTTTCTCTGACTACTATAACATCTGCATTGTTGATATTTTCACTTCAAGATCTTTGTAGGAATATAAAACAAAACATTTTTTGCAGATATATAAAAGACTTTTATTTATCACACAAAAAAAACTGACATCAGAAATGCAACACATTATATAATCAAAGGGCTTTCTTGTAACGATTCCACCCTTGGCTAGAACAGGTACCAGTCTTTTTTTTCTGTATTTCCATGACCTGTTAAAAAAATGACGGTTCATATCAAAAGTAAGAACTTTACCATAGTAACATGAAAAAGTTCATAACATGAAAGAAAAAAAAAATATGATTATTTGACAGTGGAAAAATATTTTACAGTTACTTCTGGCTACTATCCTAAGCAACAAATAACAGTTAGACCCTTAGCATTTATACCACGTTTGCAATCCGATTTGTTGCATGATTATGTATTTGACTACCTACGTACTATGTCTATCCAACATGCCAAAGCACTTCCCGAAACTCGTTATTTTTTCATTGCATCAGATTAAAATTGTTTATTACTAGAAGTCTCAGGTGTGTTAAATCATATACGCCACTTTAATGCAAAAAATAACTTTGAACTTTTCATCAGCCTTTAGCGACTGTCTGTTCTTGATTCAGTAATCGTTTTCTCTTAATATTTGTGAAGGCCCGACCTTAAAACAATCTTTCCTAATACACGACGATATTATTAGTAAAACTTTCTTTTTCTGTGCGATAGGTACGTTCAATATTAAGTTTACGAGTGAAAACAACTTGATTGATTGATTGATAGGTTATCCAGCAGACGATTGTGAAAACAACTCACCTTACCAAATATTTACATTCGTTCCCACCGGATGTAAAGCGACACCTCGCGTCGGCTCACTTCCAAAGCACAACGTTGCAATTAGAGTTATTCCCCTTTGTACGACCCAAGCTAAAAATTGCCGATTTATGGCTTCGCGGGGGATAGAGGGAGAATATTTTCGAATGCGTGAGATTTATGGCTCACATGGCGTGAGACATGATTATGCGTGAGAAAGGTCGTCTCTGCGTGACGAATGTGTGAGATTTTGTCTCACACCGTGAGAGTTGGCAACCCTGAAAGACACATGAATAGCCTCAACTCTTTATACATGTAAAGACACATGAATAGCCTTAACCCTTTATACATGTAAAGTCATATGAATAGCCTTAATCCTTTATACATGTAAAGACACATTAAAAACCCTAACTCTTAATACATTTAAAGACATAAATGGTCTTAATTCTGTACATAGACACATTAATAGTCTTAACTCTGCTCAGACACATTTTTTAGTCTCAATTCCTTACACAGACATATCAATTGTCTTTAGACTTTACACAGAAACAAAGATAGTCGTGACCCTACAAAGACACATTTATAGTCTGAACTCTTTTTGAAGAGACACTTGTAATATAGACTTGAAGGGACATCAAGTGAAGAGCCATATTTTTTTCATGAATGTATGTGTTGTATGCACTTCCACTTATGTTACCTTGCTATCCCCATATTCATAGTCCGTTCCAAATGTCCAGTTTGACCACTTAAATTGTTTGGGAAAGCCCTGTTAAAAATAACGCTGATAAAGCCACGAGGCAGTAACACAGGTAGTCTGACCGAGATGCAAAGTTTGCAAAGGGACCCCAATATATCTACTCGGTATTACCGGAATGAGACTGGTCCAAATGGGTACGGGGCCGGGGCTAAACACGTTCCCTCAACCATGGGACAAACGTGTCTGTAAAAAGGAATATTCATGAGACGAATACCCTTTTTCAAATGTTTTCATAAAGTGTATGCATGCATTGACAAGTAGTAAAAAAAGAGAAATGTTTGTGAGTTTAAAAAGAGAAATGTTTGTGAGTTTTTTTTAATTTCAATTCAATGTCTTTGACCACTTTTTTTGCATTATTTATTCATGTAAACTTGCTTTCCTTAGTTCTCTGTTGTTGAGCATACTTGTAAATGAACCCTTTTTATGTTGAGATAACTTTTCTTTATGGCATTTTTTATTCTGTTGTAATTATATAATGGGACATTGACTTATTTAACACAACTGCAGGCATGGGACAAGTATATTTTGTATTCTATAAAGGACACAGGACATGCAATTAAGTTAAGTCACAAATTCATTACCGGTCGCATCCCGGTAATAAATATTGTCTCGTCCCTAATCTGTGGAATTGGCATGAATAGAAGTTTGTCCATGGATAATGGTTTAAATTCATTCCTTTTATCAGAAACAGAAGCCACAGTCCTCGGCCGCTCACGCCATTTTAACAACGTTAACAAATTACTTTTTCTCGTTTTCAATGTGTATTCTGATTTTATTTGAAATGGAAAACTAATTATTTATAGACATGGATTGTTGCATGATCATACATTCTAAGTCAACATCATGTGAAAACTGGAACTGTTGAAACAGTTAAGATTTAAAAGTTATTTTGTTATGCGATCCGATTTAGGTTCTCCCTCCTCAGTTATTCATCCTGGACCTTTGAATCTTGCATGTTAATTAAAAAACATCTTTTACTTCTGCAATATAATTAAATCATACCATTTTACTGGACCCAGGCTGTTTACTCCTTTGAATACTTCCCACCTGCAACAATACTGATAGTTATCTTATAATAATTCATTTTAATGAATATTATATCAGCCAAATCTGACCGTTATTTTCCATAAGGAAACTTTCTAGATATGTGTATGTAGTATTTTAAAAAAAACTGATAAAGAAATATGCTTCGCCGTGATGTCCCTATAACTCAAAACACAAAGATACGCATAGTCTTAACTCTTTACACAAAGATGCTTATAGTCTTAATTCTATACACAGAGACACTTCTAGTCTAAACTCTACACAGACACATTTTTAGTCTTAATGCTTTACACAGACCACAAATAGTCTTAATTCTGCACAGACACAATTGTTAGTCTTAATTCTTTACACAAACATATCAATAGTCTTAATTAGTCTTTACACAGACATACTTATAGCCTTAACTCTTCACTGAAACACCAGTAGTCTCAACCTTACACTGACATAGAAATAGTAACACATTACACAGGAACACTCCAATAAGCCTCACAGCTCTATTCAGGTCAAGGTCAGTAAAATGTATAGAACCTTTTGCCTTGCTTTCACATCCTTTAAAAAGGTATTTTCTGTTTTCACAGATAAGAAGAAGATTACAGTATTTGGTGAGAGGGATGCTGTACTTTCTGTTACAAAGAATGTGTATAAGCTTCTCCATGAATCTTCAGCAGAACGAGCACCCAAAAGATATACCCCACCTGATAGAGCTAAACACGGTACACCAGTTTATTGGCAGGAACTGTATGAGAATCCTCCTACTCCTCAGTACTGGAAGCACTTCAAGAATGGCTACAGTTTGATGGACCATGCAAGAATACTTTTTAAACAACCCAGTAGAACAGAAATAATTACAGTTGACCCAGTGACCTTTAGGTTTGTAAAGTCATTGGTGGAAAAAACATTTATACGTCATTTAGTTGGCAAAGGTAATGATGCCCACGGGTTGTCTCACTCTCAGTTGGTGGTCAGGAAGGTGGAAAGGATTGAGAATTTTTCACTGTTTGAAGGATATTCTAATGAGAGGAGACTGTTCTTCAAACATAAAGCAAAAGGAAGCAGTAGGTGTCTGGCTCTGGAGGCAACCTCACAGCAAACGAAAGGGGCTATCCAAACCTCTAAGTATATTGACAGCCATTTGTTGTCTGACACGTTCAAAGACATCAATGAGCATTACTTCTTCCATGGAACTGATGATGAGCGCATCAAGAGGATCTCCGAGAGTGGACTGGATCCTCGCTATGGGGGTAACGGCATGTTTGGTCAAGGTATTTATGGAGCTGAGTGTTCCATCAAGGCTGACCAATATGCAGGTATGTTGATTGATGTTGTTGTCCTTGATTGTCTTATCCTGTATAGTGGTTATACTTCACAAACATCTAATGTTTGCAGTCAGGTCAAAGTGTACTTTTAAACACCTTTTGTTGTTCTGTAGACAGAATAATGTATAACCATTCAAGTGCTATTATAAAGTCACCTGAGTCACTCCGATTGCCTTTTGTCCGTCGTCTTGTATTGTGTGTAAACAATCACAAATTTTAAGTTTTTCTCATAAACTGTTTGTCAGGATTTGATGAAACCTGAGATGGGGATCAGAACTAGAGATGGTCTCACCCTCCAACGGCCGGAGCTAAAAGTGGTCAAATGGGCTAAAATTTCAATTATCTTCTTCATCAGACCCAGATATGCTTGAAACAAACCCTTTGTGGAAGAAAAGGTCCATAGGTGCTTTATCAAAATTGTGAATTTCATAACCCGAGGGTCACTCATGCCAAAATTCTCCACCATTTTCCCTGCTTACTTTGGTTTATGCGGGGAATTCACCTTTTTGGGTGTATTTTGTTGATTTTCAGTTGGAAATAATTTAAACTACATTAGAATTGTAATCGTATGATGGCAGTTTATCTTTTCCAGTTGAGTGGGTAAAATTTACTTATTGCATGCACTATTTTATCATTTTACTGATGATAATTAGCTTTATATAAATGTTGGTCACTCCCAAACATCATTTTGTATAAGCCAATCCACAGTCAGAAAGACTTTTTAGCCCACCATCATCTGATGGTTGGCTATTCAAATCACCCTGCGTCCGTGGTCCGTGGTCCGTAGTCCGTCCTTAAACAATTCTTGTTATTGGTATTTCTCAAGAAGTACCCAAGAGGTCTTTCTCAAATTTTATATGTAGGTTCCCCATGGTCCTTAGCTGTGCAGGGCAACTTTTGAGACTGATCGGATAAACAACATGGCCAACAGGCAGCCATCTTGGATTTTGATAGTGAAAGTTTGTTATCGCTATTTCTCGGGAAGTATGGGAGGGATCTTTCTCAAATTTTATATGTAGGTTCCCCTTGATCCCTCGTTGTGCATGTTATATTTTGAGACTGATCATAAAACAAAATGGATTAAAAGAAGAATTAAACAGATCTTTCTCATACTGCAATGATCGATTCTATTTCTTTCACATTAAGTACTGTACTAGTAAATATGTGAAACGACAAAATCACTTTGAAGGTTGGCTTTCATACACATCAGTATTGTTTAGATCAAAAGTTACCTCATGGTGCATTTACTGTTAACATGACTCGATCAAATAGATTAGATGAAAGAAGAGAAAAGATCGAACTGACAAAGAACTAATGAAGATGGTACAAAGGTCGGCGCCAAGATCCCTCTTTCAACTTCTTCTCCAAAACCCCTGAACCAATTGCAATGAAATTTTGCAGAAACCTTCTATGACCAAAGGTCAACAAAAACGGTGGCCGGTTTGGTCCTCAGCCCGTAGGGGCCTGAGGGGCGGGCTAAAAAGGGTCAAATTGACTAAAATTTCAAAAATCTTCTTCTCAAGACTCAGATATGGTAGAATCAAATACTCTTCATAGATGGAAGGGTCTTGAGGTGCTTTACCAAAATTGTGAATTTCATGACCCTTGGGTCTTACGTTTCCCCCTGGGGAGAGGGGGTAAACTTTACTATAGTTTGTATAGGGAAATCACATTTTGGACTAACATTTGTTTAATTGCCATTAAAGGTAATTCAATTTAGGTAAGCATTATCAGTATTGGGTAGCAGTTTGGTGGTATGCACATATGAGCCCTGACTGCCCCCGCGGGGCTGATGGGTGGGGCCAAAAAGGGTCAACTTTATTAAAATTTCAAAAATCTTCTTCTCAAGACCCAGATATGGGAGAATCAAGCACTCTTCATAGATGGAAGGGTCGTAAGGTGCTCTACCAAAATTGTGAAATTTATGACCCTGGGGTCTCAGGTTTCCCCCTGGGGAGGGGGTAAACTTTACTATAGTTTATATAGGGAAATCACATTTTGGACTAACATTTGTTTAATTTCCATTGGAAGTAATTCAATTTAGGTTAGCATTATCAGTATTGGATAGCAGTTTGATGGTATTCACATATGAGCCCTGAAAATTTATTATGGTTTATAATGGCAAATGATACTTTGAATATTACATGTTATAGCTTGATTGGAATTATAAGCCTGAGTTGACAGTTTGATACTTTGAAAATTTTGAGCCAGCCCTACCCCCAAGGGCTTTAGGGTGGGGGTCAAACGAGTCAGTGGGCTAAAATTTCTTCATTTTCCTTGTTTAGAATCAGAGGTGCTAGTTTCAAATACTTTTTAGTCTTAAATCTGTATGCGAGATATTGAATAAAGGTGGTTTTATTGTTTTTTGTCACTTTGAATAATATTTCTGTTTGTGTTAAAAACAAAATCAACTCTCTGTATAAATATATCAGGTGACCGTTAAGGCCCATGGGCCTCTTGTTCAGTTCTATATACTTTCGTTCTTTGTCACATCACAATAACAACTAACAAGTGCATTTTAACGCAGGTAACTGTTACGGCCCATTGAGCCTTTTATACCTTATTCTCATTGTACAAATTTTGATAACAATATCTTACTTTTTAGCACACTTGGTTGAACTAGTTAGAATGAAGTATTATCATATTTAGGTCACCTGAGTTTTGTCCAAGGGACCTATTCTGATCGCTTTCCGCCCGGCTTTGTCCGTCGTCAGTCCGTTGTACGTAAACTTTTTACATTTTCGACTTCTTCTCAAGAACCATTGGATGGAATTTTTTCAAACTTAGTCAGAATCATCCTTGGTAGATGAGGCTAGATAATTGTAAAATTGGGATTCCTGCCCCAACCCCAGGGGCCAGGGCGGGGCCCAAAAGGGGAAAATTAACCAAAATTTCAAAAATCTTCTTCTCCTGAGACTCAGAGGTACTACAGTAAATGTCTGTGCATGGATGGAAAGATCATCAAGGGCTTGATTTAAATAGTAAATTTTAGTACCCCTTAGCCATCCGTTCTCCCTTGGGAAGGGGGTCAAGTTTACTATAGTTTAAGTAGGGAAATAACACTTTTGGGTATATTTTGTTAATTTAGGATAGGTAATCATTCTTACTTGGTGATAATCATCCTTGGAAAAAGATGGTATTGAATTGTAAAATTGTGATTCCTGCCCCATCCCCTAGAGCCAGGGTGGGGCCCCAAAGGGAAAATTAATCAAAATTTCAAAAATCTTCTTCTCCAGACTTAGTCTGGTACTACAGTCAATTTCTCTGCATGGATGGAAAGATCTTTAGGGGCTTTATTTAAATTGTAAATTTCAGTACCCCCAGGCCATCCGTTCTGCCTTTGGCTATAGTTTATAAGGGAAATAACACTTTTGTGTATATTTTGTTCATTTTCATCAGGAAATTATTCAAACTTGGTCAGAACCAACTTCTGTGAAAGAGGGTACTACATTTTAAAATTGGGATTCCTTCCCCATCCGCAGGGGCTAGGTTGGGGTCCCAAAAGGGAAATATAAGAAATAATTCAAACTTGGTTGGAATAGTTATAATGAAATTGAAACCAGATAGTATCAGAAAGTAAGATGCTGACCTATCCCAGGGGTTGGCCAGAAACGAAAATTGGCTAAATAACAATAATTATATTTCTCAATAGCAAAATAATTTATTTGAATAGTTTTTTTTTTATTCTTATCCTTTGGTGACACGACAAGTATTGTATTTAACTTTGTTTACATGTTGATTTCCACATCACATCTCAACAAGGAAATTGAGGTACCAGTACATACCTATAATATATAACTCAGGTGACCGCGAAGGCCCTTGGGCCTCTTGTTAAACTTTCAATGTCACATACCTGGGTAGGTCAAATTGAAAACTTCAAATGACTTATTTAAACATCCTTTTCTAACAAATAAAACCATGATGTCTTTAGAGCGATTACTTTTAGCATCTAGTTTGCTGGGCTAAATAGCTATACAGCTTTGTTAACTAAACACACAACTGTCAGATCTAGAGGCGTCAAAAGAAATAACAGCATTAAATAACTTAGTTAATAGAAGAAAGAGAAATGCATGGCCAGACCGGGATTCCAATTGAGTGAACTGGTCACCAACAATCAACCCAGTCCAGTTCCACTCCATTCATCCCTCCTTTTTCTAAGTCTTTGCCACAAAAGCACAACTATTTACAAGCAAGGTATTTACAAGCAAGGTTCAGGTATCCCATTGCCAAACATTCAAAGCTTGCTAATTTTGTAATAGGAGATAGAAAAATCTATAAATAGCATTTGATAGCAGATTTCATTTGGGCCTCACATCAAACATGCGGTGCCCTATATAGTAATGATGTTGTCTGTCTGTTTGACTGATCTGTACCGTTACCTGGATTAAACAGCCTATTGACAACCTGTAGTTGTGTCTTGTAGACTCGGCAAAGACCCGGCAGTTGGGAGGAAGGAAGATGCTTCTGATGCGACTATTACTTGGTGACATGTTTGTAACCTCCACACCCTTCAAGTACAGTCTGCCACCATGTAAAACTTGCAACAAGGAGAAGTGTATCAATCATAGTTACACCTATAACTCTGTAGTAGCTGACGGACAATGGCTTTTCAGGGAGTTTGTTGTTTACGACAAAAATCAATGTTACCCCGAGTACATAATTACATATGACCGCCAGTGAGATTGAGGCAGAAATAACGTGCTATGTATTTATGACCATGCACTTTATTTTCAATCTGATTTATCATTATTTATAAGTGTGTGATACAAAGTGAATTAAGGAACACAGTATAACATGTTTTATTTACCAAATTTCTCAATTTTTATATGTACAATGTAACATCCCCTTGGTTCTTTTAACTTGTGCCTGTACAATTTTGAGATTAGTTGGGAAAGTTGCCAGGTAGCCGTCTTAGATTTTTACTGTTAAAATTGACTATCATTACTACTCAAGAAAAACTAGATAGAATTCTCTGAAATAACTGATTTGTAACAGGAGAAAGAGAAATGAAACGTCCAGACTGGGAATCGAACCCGGCACCCTCCAAGCTCTAGCTTTATCAGTTGAGCTACCTGGTCGCCGATGATTGACTCAGTCCAGTTCTGCTACATTCCTACTACCTATTTCTAATCTTCCACCCAAAGACACAACTATTTACAACTTAGGTTCCGATATCCCCTTACCAAGCATTTACCCAGTGCTTGAAACAAAAGTTGGCCAACTTTGTAACAGGAGAAAGAGAAATGCAACAGCCAGTTCAGGTTTCAAACCTGGCACCCTCCAAACTCTAGACGGATGCTCTACCAATTGAGCTACGTACCTTTTTTGCTGATGATTGACCCAGTCCAGCTTTGGTCTTTAGTTGTGTATGTTTTATTTTGAGACTGGTCAGAAGATACAGCCATCTTTTATTTTGATGGTAAAAATTTGTTATTGCTTTTTCTCAAGTACATTTAGCAAGCCTAGCTCCTCGACAGATCTTTCTAGAATTTCATATGTAGGTTCTTGTTATTTCTTAGTTTTTGTCAGTAATATGGCTGCAAAACAGCCATCCTGGATTTCGTCAATTGAATTTGTTTTGTTGCCTTATTTCTCATAAAGCACATAATTGGCGTCTTTTGAGCTGTCCTTTAATAAGAAATCAGCAGAACTTTGATAGTAGGAAGAGTTTAGCAAATTCACTGGTTGAAAATGCTTAATTTTAAGGTCCAAAATCGGAAGTCTCCATCCTAAATAGGGAGAGTTGGCAAGTATGACATGCCAATTACTGCAGTATGAAGCTTTGATCAAAAGTTACTAAAAGATGCATTAACAGGTTGTAGGTCAAAAAAAAAATCCAAAGTTACATAGATCCAAGAAGATCTTATGATGGTGGGCACCCACTCTTGTCATCTTTCAACCAGCAGTTTGTTTAGTCATCTGCAGTGTTGTAGATTTCAGTGGGTTTCTGAGAGGACACATGTTAAATGTCATAGTTATTAGATCACTATAAAACAGTCCAATGTTTAGTATGAGACAGCCAAAGGAAATCAGGCTCAATGGTATCTTCTTACAGATGGTCTGTTAACAGAGTATTGATATATTTTGTAAATTGCATTGTTGTGATGAGACCACAGTGCACGTGGTCCCCTAGGAGAGATTGTTACACAATAGGAGCGGTTTTGTAAAGGTTTGACTATATTTTTGTACATTATTGCTTGTAGAACTGAATACCATTTGTTTAAACTAAATGCTTGTATCATCAACAGGTTGTAAAATGGAAATAGTTAGGGTATTATATAAGGATTGACCTTCATTATGACGGCATGAACGGTGGTATGAACGCAGTTGGCAACGAACATATTCTTTGGTGCTCGTACGTTTATTTTTTTATTTTTTTTTCAGTACGTACGTTTTTGATGAGAGGTGCACTACAATATTAATGCATGTTTATACCAATATGACGATGTCATCTGTCCACCAAAGATAATCAGTAGATAGTATTATGTTTCCTAGCTGTATTAGTCAACCTAGAATGTATAATTTATACAAAGCTTTATACTCACGGCTTTGTAATTTAATTTGCATCTCATGTCATATTTTCAACCATTTTAATAATTTTGTGCCTGTGAGATGGTGTTCATGATTTCATATCTTTTCATGAACAATACATGAATTCAGATAACTAGAAGTTGATGAGCTGTTATGAGTGATTTCATGAAAGACACAGATAGTAAATATCATGTCTAATTTGAAATATTCGTACAGCCACCTCATGCATTTGGACAAGTGGGTTTTTAAACTAAATAAATTATTAAGCATTATTGATAACTTAGATCAACATCCTGTTTTTAGCTCACCTGCCCAAAGGGCTGGCGAGCTTATGCCATGGTGCGGCGTCTGTCGTCGGTCTGTCCGTCAACTCTTCCTTTGAAACGATTTCCTCTGAAGAATGGACAGGCCTACAGTCATGATAATTGGGTGATAGCTTTGTTAGCTAGAGCCCAACAAAGTTTGAGAACGAAAATGACCTTGACCTATCTAGGTACTATCAATTAAATTTCATTTAATATTAAGGGCTTGACATTGGGCATTATTAATAAGCTATTACATGTATGCATTTTCATGAAAGTTTATGAACTTAAGAATATTTATATCATGAACTTGTAAATCAAAACGTTCATGAATTTAGTATTCATGATTTTTCATGAGCTATGGTCCTGAACAATGATGATTTCCTGAGGTTAGGAATTTGTTTTTGAGTTCATGAACATTAATGAAATATTTAATTCCTGAGATAATGTTAAACTATTTATGAGTTTATTCTTTTTTAACTTTCTTTGAATTCTATGATGATACATATGATAAAACCTTAGTGGATGGCACACAATCCATTTTGAACCAGTTTTGCTGAGCTGGCATTTTTTAATGCATTGGCCACTTATTTTTAAGATAACTTATAAATAATCACAAGTGACAGGGAGGTTATGAATGTAGAGGATATTTAGTGGTTTCCCATTGAATGTCATATACACTGTACTTTCTATAAGTAGATCTAGATGTATGATAGAATAAAGATATTTTTCTCGAACGCAAAGAATGGGTGAAAATATAAATATATCTTACCATAGGATTGATATATCTATGATATTCAATTGGAAAACCATTTTATTTTCTATTTATTACATTTTTTAAAGTAACACAACACAAATATTGCTGCATAAAAATGGGGGAATTAGTGGCTTAATAAGAGTGTAGCTCACGGGCGCCAAACGCGCCCGAGCGAAGCTCTTTAATGGTAACACATGCGTGCGTAAACAGAGTTGCTTCCCCTTTCTACCCGTTGCCTTTAATTTTTTTCGTCCAGAAGCAGACGTCCAGTGGGGAAACAGGAAATGCATCCTTGAAGCAAAGACAATTGTGTTTCAACCCATACATGAATATCTTCATATAGTGAAAACAATCTTCAGGTTACTTGTTTATTTAGATAACAAATGATATACATTCTGAGTGAAAAAGGTCTATCACATAAAATGTGATACTAACAGGCATGAAACTTCGTTCAGAGATTATCATACCATGACGTCACAACGTGTCACAATGCGTCATAATCCATCGGCCTTCATCGGTTATTTCCGGAAGGATGAAAAATAACCGGAAAATTCTGAAACTGATGTCCGTTGCATTTATCTTTTTGTCAATGCTTCAAGACTTTTTTTAAATTTCAGTTTCCACAGGCACAAAACGTAAAAATGCGGATATTTTCTGAAGGTCTTTTTTGTCATCAACCGGCCGGTTCTGTTGATATTTCTACCGGGAGATAGAGTCAAAAAGAGATCATTTAAAATTTCATCAGCTTTTGATTTCCATATGTTGAGAATATAAAGGAAACAATTAACATTTTTGAAAGTCTGGATATAGTCTTTACACTATTTATGCATCACCACTCATAAAAGAAGCAATGGAAAATGCATTTATGACGAAATTAGCAATAATTTTCCAGACAACCAACCCAAGTGCAATGCCCTTTTTCAGCAATGTATCACTTTTTCACAACGAGTGCCGATTTATAACAAGTTACAGACAGAAACTGTAATTCTATTTGGCATCATTACCTGTCAAAACTCGGTGACAGTTACAAAATTTGAAATTCAATCCGGTGTTTCAGGATGGAACAGTAATTGAGACTACATATCCATATAAAGACAGTTTCAGTTACATCAAAGTATTACAATGTTTTCTTTTATAATTTCATCTTTTTAACTTACATCTCTATACATTTACTTAGACTAATCGTCAAACATGTAATATGCACATTGAAACGGAATTGCTACTTTTTTACAGTCAAACGTCAGTGTAACACACTGACAGCTTCAAATGATATACACAAAAGCCAAGCCAATCACTCACTACCATATTGCTGTACGATAAGAATTTATTGAAATATCAATTTGGGCCCGAACAGGTTCGACCAATAATACCGTGGCAAGGTCGGCCCATGTAGTTAACACATAAAAAGTAGTAAAATTGGGGCTAAAATCTGACGTTGTATGCTTTATGACGTCATAATTAAGCTGATTCCAATGGGCTTGTTCGGCCATCCGAATTTCCGTTAGGAAAAGTTAAATAATGTTCAAAAACGGACGTGCTGCCATACTTCCTAGAACGGACTTTAATTTTAAAAAAAGGGCCGAACTTGGCCCGGTTTTAATCTTATTAGAGCTTGTGTTTTATTGTTATTCCTTGACTAGCCGAGTTTATCTCATCTCATTCTGAAAGTTGTATTCTGAATCAGTAAATATCAGAGATCAACAAAAGCTACGCTCTTTTAAGGCTTTGCGCTTTCATATTATTTGATGTTAAGATCTAAGGATGTCATGCCTGACAACAGGACAGATTGCCATTTTGAATGGGTTACTCAACACCATCCTGCCATTTGCAGCTACATGTATTTTCTGGTAATATTTCCAAACAAACTGATATAAATTGTGTAGTTATATAAATACAATGATGTATGTTGCAAAAGTGGAACAAAATTACAACTTATTCTGCTGTCGCTTCATTTGAACTTAAAACTGAAAATCTATAGCTATGACGTAAGCAGAATTTAAAGTACCATTCTGATTGGACAATATTAAAAGTGATATCTTCACTGCAGTATAAGTTTTTTTATTAAATGAATAATATTCAATTATAGCCTTTGGCTGAGGTCGATACCTGGATTTATCGACCCGAGAAAAGATATATTAACAGAGGACGCAGTCCGAGGGCAATATATCTTTTCTCGGGGCGATAAATCCAGGTATCGACCGAAGTCAAAGGCTACAACTGTTTTATTATTTTCAAAAGAGTAATGTTAGCAATTTGAAAAAAAATCCCCGCAAAAATCTACGGAAGCGGGACGATGCGTTCGTTTGGAGATACGTTTTTTTTTTTTTTACGTCATAATTCTATTTTTAGAAACACCCAGTCCTTCATCAAAAATCATGCGCTCCAAGTCAATATCAGTTTTTATCGGTGGACACGTGATGCACTTCTGTCCAATCACTTGTCGGGAATAATATGAAAAAATATTAATTCCTGATATTTCACTGGTGAAAATGACAAGGAATACCAGCTATGTAAGTAATAATATAGCTGTGTCATAGCTATAGGTAAAATGTGACATGTAATGTACACATAATTTTGCAAATCTTATAATTATTGGTTTTGCTGAAACATGAAACTTATTATTACCCTATGATATTCCTTTTTAATAATACAAGCAGTAGTGTTATTACATATTTTTATTCATTAATTTTATTCCAACCAGTCGAAAATGCTTTTTAATTAAAAACTGTTGCCAGGTCAGAAAGTGTTATAGCCCTCTCCT